AGTGCAGAGATGCAACATTCTTCTCGGTAACTACAAGGTACTCATCAGATTACAGACAGGCAAGGACTGATGACAGGCTTTTATCTAAAAGCGATGAAAATGCAGGGAACCCCTCCCTTCTTCCCCCAGAGCCCCCATGCATGACAGAATCTTGTTGGGAGACCAACAAGATGTGCAGGTGGAAAAATGAAAAGCAAGGAAAGAAGTAACTTAATTGAGTGTCTACTGTGTACAGGATCTACTAGACGCAAGATATGCCAAATGCTAGATGCAAGGGACTAATTATCTCCTGATAATTAATGACACTTAGGAAGACATACTGTTTCCATTTTTTAGATGAGAAAATATAGACTTCGAAATATTAACAGCCTATCAAGATCACATGGGTCTCAAGGCAGACCCTCCAACTAGATCTGCTGAATGCTGAAATCTGTATTGATCCCAGCTCACTGCCTTGTCATGTGGTGAAAGAGCTCATTCATCCTTCATTCATTCATTCTTTTCCATGAGTTGATGGGGAGGTCCCAGCAGAGGTACCTATGGTGTGTGACAGAATATGTGTGTGACCAGAACCACAGAACCCTGAAGGAGGGGGCCATGACCTCTGACCTCTTTCTAAACTCCCTCTCTTCTCCACCAGTTCATCATTACAGGATCCCTCACAGTGTCATCAGAAGTGCAGCCAAATTCTTCTTGCCTGGTAAGTCGCATCCTGAGACAGGCTCCCCCAGATGTGGACCCGTAGGAGAGACACACAACTAGAAAGAAGCTCACACTCACTCCCTAATCCCTGCACCTACTTCTACCCAAACACAGGGCACTGACATGCATGCTTACCTATACTCACAAGATCACGCGAACCTGGCCAGAGTCACAAGCGGGAAAGAGTCCAGAAGATTCAGGGAAGGAAGGGCAATACAGCCACCTTCACGAAGGCACCAGGGTGTGGAGAGACAGAACAACTTTCCTAAGAGGATCTAACAGGAGGAGGCTAGAAGCTGCCAGGGGCGCAGGGCTCCCCTCCAGCAGAGCAGTCACTGAGACTATCTAGAGAACACAGAGCCGACCTCCAGGCATCTCTGCAGGGAAGGCTCAGGCAGAGGCTTCCCTAAGGAATCACACTGTCCAAGCTCTGTCCATCACGTGGGCAAGGCTGGGGGGTCCCTAGCAATGGAACAAGAACATACTTTTGTTTCTCTCACAAGCAGGTTATATGGAACGAGGGGCCCCAGAATGGCCAGGTCTCACACAGATGAGATCTATTTGAAAATCTCCAAAGGGAAGCTTTATTCTGGGCGTGCCTTTCTGCAAGAGGCCCAGAATCACGGAGCCTGTGGCATCTCAAGACACTTGGGCTGAGTGTCCTGCCCATCTCCTATGCAATAAATGGGTCAAGTGTTTCCCAAACATCAATTTCGGAATAATTGTCCAACAAGATAGTATATGAAGATGGTTAGGTAAATTTGGGGTGGGGGAACTCTCTATTTAGTAGTCCCCTCTCTGGAAGATTCAAAATCCTTGCTAAAGGTTATGACAAGTCCTGCATAAAAGACCTGTTTAACTTTGTGCATCCCAAGGTTTTTTGAAAGTTAATTTACCCCCAACCTTTTTTATACAGAACACTTCTTTACTTCCTGCACAACTAGGGTTTGGGAATTCACAGTAAGATACACTGGCTGAGACTCTGCTCATCTCACCTACAATTGTGTTCTTCTTCCACCCTGACCTCTGGCCTCAGTCCTGAACAGGAAGTGCTGGCCTTCATTATAGCTTTACCAAGCTGAGCCAAGGGATGAGACACTACTGGGGCTCAACAGCATGAATTCATGCTCACCAAGTAACAAGTGTGTCTTCTTCAGCTGAAAGGAAGCTTGGGCTTGAACATCATCAGTGCGATCTATTCCTTGGTTGGAATTGCCCTCTTCATCACAGATATGAGTGTCAACTCCACACGATTCTACCCCCCCCACTACTATCCTTACTATGGTGTGGTGAGTATCCCTCTTGACGAACGCTCTTCTGGGTTCCAACTTCACTGTTTCAGAAATCATTGGAGAAGACCTGACCACCCAGCCTCTTCACCAGGCACGATATGAAAGAGAGGTGCTCTCACAATCATAACAGATTAAAGTTCCTGACATGTAGATTTGTTGCTACGTTACTCTAAGCATGTGGCTTTTCTTAGTCTTAGTTTCTATATTTTAAATCAGTATACCTACCTTTTGACATTGTCGGGATATTTAACTTCGGTTAGACATATAATGCACAGGTACCCACCAACCTGCACCTCTACTCACATGCTGGCCTTCCTGCCCAGTACTGTGGACAAAGGGGTAAGCAGGGGTCTTCTGTAAAGCGCCTGAGAGTGAACCCTGAAGGCTTTGCAGGCCATCCGGTCTCTGTTGCCACTACTCAACCCAGTGTGAAAGCAGACATAGCAAATGCGCAAACGAACGAGCCATCTCAGGCTACAGACCAGTGCTAGCCAATAGAAATCTGACATAAGCCACGTGTGTGATTTTCCATCTTCCAGTAGCCACACTGAGAAATGAACAAAAAAGAGGTGAAATCAATTTTAATGATACATTTATTTAACCCCATATATGCAAAATGTCATTTAAACATGTATTCGTGTAAACACACAAATACCGTTCATTCAACAGTTGGCATTGTGGGTGCCACATCTTTGAAGTCCAATGTGTATTTTCCATTTGCACCACATCTCAAGCCCTCAGGGGCCTCGTGGCTACCAGATCGGAAAGTGCAGCTATCGATGAGTCCCATGTACACTCAGCGCCTCCCTCTGCACCGCAGCTCTGCCCTCTCCGCCCGCCCTGGGTCATCACTGGAAGCTCTGCTCCCATCTTCCTTGTTGCCCCCTCTCTTCTACATCCGTTTCCCCACTTTGTTAGAGCTTGTCTGTTGGCCCCTAAACACTCTTGTTTCTTTCATCTTCCAAACAAACTCACCTCCTCTCACTTATGGCAGCGGCTCCCCTGCCTCACTCACACACCTTCCCCCACAACCTCTCACAAACCTCTCAGTCTCCTGTTCTCAGTTGGTGGCATCTGCATCCTTCCAGTCTCTCGGGACAAAACCCTGGCGAAATCTCTGACCCCCTCTCTCACTCCCACACCTCCCCGCCAACTCCGCAGGAAATCCTGCTGGTTTCGCCTTTAAAACGCATCCAGAGTCCAGCCATTTTCACCAGATTCTCCGTCACCACGTGGGCCGGAGCCGCCACCACCTGGTTTCTGATCCCAATTCTGCCTGTGTCTGATCTTGGAAAGAGAACTCTTCCATCCTGGCTGCCTGCCACCTCTGGCCTCAGTCCTGAATAGGAAGTGCTGGCCTTCATTATAGCTTTACCAAGCTGAGCCAAGGGATGAGACACCCCTGGTGCTCAACAGTATGAATTCAAGCTCACCAGGTGACAACTGTCTAAGCTGCCTGAGGAACCCTCTTCTTTCGTAGACTGTTTTTTTTTAAATATTTTTAACTGTTCAATTACAGTTAACATACAATATTATATCAGATTCAGGTATATAGCATAGTGATTAGACATTTTTATAACATATGAGGTGAATAGTTAATAGAGTATTATTGACTACATTCCCTGTGCCGTACCTTAATTTGTCTTCCTGTGACTGATTTTATAACTGACAATTTGTACTTCTTAATCCCTTCACCTTTCTCACCCATCCCCTCAACCCTCCTGCCATCAGAAAGTTTAATTTATAAAAGAATTTTGTTGTTAAAAACACATCCGAAAACAACCAGCATCATTAGCAAAGGCCCCTTCTGCCTAAGCTTTTGTGATTCCTTGACTAAGACATCATTACTATGCCGTTCCCTTTGTCTGGACACCTGAGCTACCCCACTATTACATGTTCCACTGACAACGAGTCTATGTCTCTCCTCAGTGCACTGAGCCACTATGTTCTGGCTGTTTTATAACACTTACCATGTCTAATTTAAATTAAATTGTAATTACTTACATCTTTATCTCCTCCCTCACTAGACTGTGCCTCGCAGGACGGTCTCTTGGCCATTTGTGCCAAACAGATGTTTGATAAATGCTTGCTAAATCGCGAGGGGAAGGAAGGAAAGTGCTAAGGAGGGGTCTCTCCAAGGGGAGGATTCTCTGAGCAGCTAGCCATCACCAATGCCATTTTGAAAGTCATAACTGACAAACATTTGCTTGGTACCTACCATGTGGCACCCATTTTCACCTTCAAAATTATTCTCTCCTATAATTAGAATCCAAATGGTTATTGAAGTTCCTCATCCCTTGTGCTTTTATGTAGATTCTACCCAAACTCTCTCCCCAGATACCGTGGGAGGCCCCAGTCTCCTGGACATTCTGAGCGAAGAGTAAGGGAAGGGCTCAGATGTCTGCAGGTGCTCATGTGAGCTCAACTACTGCTGAGTTAGTTCAGCGTGGGGGTCCTTTTACTGACTGTTTTCCTAAGGTAAAGACAGTCTCAATTATTTCTCTTCACAAGTGCCACAATCACAAGCCAGGAAGGTTGCATCAGTCACCAACGTTCTCTACAGGTTCAGAGGGGTGGTGGAGGTAGCTACTGATGCCTCTTTTGTAATGTCTCAATTTCCCACAGGTCGACTTCTTCTGCAGGCTCCACCTTCCCGTCTTGTTGCTCAGTCCCGTCTTTCTCCTCTAACCATCTCACCTTCCTCTCTGTGGCTTGTCCACACACCCAGATTTCTACTCACTTCCCACACAAACAGTTTCACTGTTTCACTGGCCCACTGCAGACCTCATCCTGAGGTCTCACTCCATGTGCCAGAAACAAGTTATCAGGGTGTTCCCCTAAACAATGACAGTTCTTTGCCTCAGAAGAACACAGGTATAAGCATTAAAACGATTATTTCACAAACACTCTAGACCCTCCCAAAACCTGGTGAGATATGTTCTCCGAGAGGCTGAGGCGAGGCTGGGGATTCCTCAGAGCCACAGCCATGGTCCTCTGCAGAGCAACCTTCCAGCCGGGCCGCAGACTCCCAGACATGAGCAGCACTCATGACCTCCCCGTTTCTTCTGGTTCCAGGCCACTGGAATAGGTACTTCTGCTGTGCTGTTCATCTTTAGCCTCCTGGAGTTCAGCATTGCCTGCACGTGTGCCCACTTTGGCTGCCAACTGGTTCAACATTCACAAAACAATGTGAGTTTGTAGGCTCCTCCATGGGTGGAAAGATGCCCCAAAGAGCATGGGGAGTAGGGGGTCGTCAGGCTTCCGCTTCCTGCCCAGGAGTAGAGGGGCTCCAGAATGTCTCAAGGCCTTTGTGCATGCACGGTTCTCACCAGTGCACCTTCTGTGCCCGTCTTTTCCAGGGGACCGTGGTCATGCCCCCAACCATCTATGTAACAAACCCAATGGTCATCCCAGAACCAGGGAACTCGCGACCGCCATACTCCAGGGAGTTCCAGGGCTCCCATTAAGCCAAAGGTTCTAATAGCATCGTTCACTGGAACCAGAAGAGCTCCCCTCTCTGGACTTCTGAAACTCGGCTTTCCTGCCAAACTAAGGAAAATGTCTTTCCAACTGTACAACACCTGGACTTTATTCACCTCATCCTGGTAAATCATGCTGGGCCTCCATTGAAAAGGAGACAGGAATTAAAGTAGATTTGAGCACCGAGGTCTTCCCTAGAGCATCCACATGTGGGGCGTCGTGTGCACATATTCATTTGTTTGCCTGCGTGAGCTTATGAGTTAGAGGAACAAATGTCTAGACAACCCCAGCTCCATTCTCCCAATCATTCACTCACTGAAGAAATATGCACTGAGCATGTGATATGGCCAAGCCTCTACTCATGGCAGGAGGAGGATGAACATGGGTGAACACACTAAGTCCTTGACTTCAAGGAACTTCTGCCTCACAAGAGAAACAATGTGCAAGCAATTTTTCTAACACAGGCAGAATGTGGGGATGTGTCAAGACAGAACAGAGAGGACAATTATTTAATCTGGCAGTGATGGGAGAAACAGAACAAGCTTGGTTGAGAAAGCAGGATTTAATGGGACGTTGTGGGGTAAGGGAGGGGTTGTTGTTGTTGTTGTTTAGTGCAATAACAAACCACAGTTTTAGGAAGACCTTTGGAGAAGTCCTCCTATTAAATAATTGTTTTTTCCATATTCTGTTACCACCACCAATCTTCCCTGCTGTAATCATCATAGGGCTATTTGGAAAAGAGTCTCTTTCTTATCCTACTACCTACTCTATTAGTTCTGTACCTTAGGCCCATCATTCCATAGGGTCCCTTCACCAACTTAAGGTGACAGCTCACCAATGGTCAATAACATTGTGAGCTTGCTCTGCACTATCCCACAAGCCATCTGTCTGCACACCTCCATTCACTCCCATATTCTCCAGAGAAAGGACACATTAAAAACCGGAAGAGACCTTGGAGATCTATGGAGAGGTGGAAACACACAGGTAGAGAGGGAAGAAATTTTCCCAAGGACATCAAGCCAGCCATGAGCACAGGCAAGCCCCAAACCAGAATTCCAGAAGACTAGTCCAGTGCTTCTTGCAGAAGCGGAGACACATGGTGGAAAAAGGAAGGTGACTAAGGTCAGAAGACAGTCTCTACCACCTTAGTAACCACCACTCTCAACTCGGCTCTCTCCCACCCCTTCGCTCCCCATTCCAAGGACAATACTGCTCTCACTGATGTCACCAATGCTCCCCTCCCCCACCCAAAGTTGACAAGCTCAGTGGTTCTGTTTCCATCCTTACATTCCTGACCTCTGCAGGATGTGACCCAACAATCCACTCTCTGTTTAAAACACCGCCTCCTGCTTCTGCTCCAGTGTTCCCAGATGCCCTCCTCCCCCCACACCTGCTCCTCTTTCTCCTCTTGTGCCTCAAGCGTTGCTCCCCAGTATGGCACTGCCCTTGATCCTCTTCTCATTGTATGTCCTCAAGACCTTCTCTGGGGGCTTGAGATTCAAATCTCAAGTAAGATTATAAGATTCAAATATGCTAGTCAGTGCACAAAAGCACTGGAAAGTGTTTATACCACTTTCCAACCTGCCCTTGGGTCCCAGGACTCATCATCCACTCGTTTGGGATTTCTTATGAAAGAGGTTGCTGTATTTCCTGCTTGATATCCTGCCCCCATGTTCTCCAGATGACAAGTTCAAGGACCACTTCCACAAGGAAGCTGTATAGGTTCCTACAGCCAGAAGCATCCATGTAAAAAGCAGGCTGGTGGTGGGAGGGATGGAGGAGGTATACTATGTGACCTAGCAGGAAAGACATACAGAGTACAACTTTGAGGACTTTTTGTCAACTTCACTAAAAAAAAAATCTAATTTTTGTCTTGTAGCTGAAAAAATAGAAATGTGACTAATGTTTCACAGTAGCTAATGGACATATCATTTACAGCTCCTGCGTGCCTCACCAAGAACTTCAGGACATTACTTTGGAAAATTATGTTCAGACTTTGGAGGGTGCATTATAATGTCAGGAGGTATGTCATGTCAAGGAAAGGCACATGGTTCCCAGGACCCACCCACCCTGCAATGCCAACCAATGACTCACAGATGGGACAATCTGGACGAAATGGATAAATTGCTAGAAACACACAGTCTTCCCAATCTGAATCAGGAAGAATCAGATAACCTGAAATGACAGATTATAACTAATAAAATTGAAGTACTAAACATAAATTTCCCAACAAACAAACAAAAGTCCTGGACTGGATAGCTACACAGGTAAATTTCACAAAACAGTCAAAGAAAAACTAACACCGAGCATCCTCAAACTATTTCAAAAATTCAATGGAAGGAAAGACTTCCAAGTTCTTTTGACATGACCAGCATTTTCTTAATTCCTCTTAATTCCAAAACCAGATAAAGGCACTACAAAGAAAGAAAATTATGGGCCAATATCCCTGATGAACATAGATACTAAACCCTCAACAGAGGGTTTTACCATTAGCAAACCATATCCAGCCATACATTAAAAAGATCAAACACCATGATCAATTGAGATTTATTTCAGGGATGCAAGGTCAGCATGATATTCACAAATCAATAAACGTGATACCTTACATAAACAAAGTGTAAGCTAGATGCAGAAAATGCATTTTGATAAACTCCAGCATACATATATGATAAAAACTTACAGCAAAGTGAGTATAGAGGGATCATACCTCAACAAAATAAAGGCCATATATGAAAAATCTACAGCCAGCATTATACTCAATGGGCAAAAACTAAAAGCATTGCCCTTAAGAACAGGAACAAGACAGGGATGCCCACTTTTTGCCACTCTTATTTAACATAGTACTGAAGCCTTAGCCACAGCAATTAGACATGAATAAAAATAAAAGGGATCCAAATTAGAAAGGAGAAAGTGAAACTGTCATTATTTGCAGATGACATGATATTGTACGAAAAAAACCCTAAAGACTCCATCAAAAATCTACTAGACTTAATAAAGGAATTTGGCAAAGTAACAGGATACAAAATTCACATCAAGAAATCACCGGGCATTCTTATATACCAACGATGAACTCACAGAAAGAGAAACTAAGAAAACAGTCCCATTTACCACTGTGGCAAAAAAAATTAAGATACCTAGGAGTAAACTTAACCAAGGAAGTAAGCAATCTCTTGGCAGAAAACTACAGGACATTGAAAAAAGAAATAGATGAAGATATAAAAAGTGGAAGCATATACCTTGTTCATGGATTGGAAGAATTGACATCCTTAAAATGTCCCTACTACCCAAAGCAATCTATAGATTCAATGCAATCCCCATCAAAATACCAACGACATATTTCACAGAACTAGAACAAATACTTGATAAGTTTACATGGAACCAAAAAAGACCCCAAATAGCCACAGCAATCTTGACAAAGAAGAACAAAGTAGAAGGGATCACATTACCAGATTTCAGTTTATACTACAAAGCCACTGTAATCAAAACAGCCTGGTACTGGCACAGGAACAGGCAGATAGCTCAATGGAACAGAATAGAGAACCCAGAAATTGACCCAAGACAGTATGCTCAATTAATATTAGACAAAGATGGCAAGAACATACAGTGGAGTCAAGACAGTCTCTTCAATAAATGGTGTTGGGAAAATTGGACAGCTATTGGCAAAAAAATGAAGCTAGCACACCAACTTACACCATACATAAGAATAAACTCAGAATGAATAAAGGACTTAAATGTGACTCGTGAATCCATAAAAGTCCTAGAAGAAAATGTAGGCAACAAAATTTCAGACATCATACCCAGCAGAATTTTCACTGATGCAACACCTAAGGCAACAGAAACAAAGGAAAAAATGAACACATGGGACTACATCAAACTCAAAAGCTTCTGCACAGCTCAAGAAACAACCATCAAAATGGAAAGGCAATACTCTATATGGGAGACCATATTGCCAATGATGCATCAGGTAAGGGGTTAATTTCCAAAATATATAGAGTACTCATACAACTCAACAAAAGGAACTCAAAGAACCCAATTAAAAAATGGGCAAAGGACCTAAATAACCACCTCTCCAAACAAGATATACAAATGGCCAAAAGACATATGAAAAAGTGCTCAATGTCACTAATCATCAGAGAGATGCAAATTAAAACAACTATGAGGTATATCACCTCACACCTGTCAGAATGGCTGCATAAAAAATCATCAAACAACAAGAGCTGGCAAGGGTGTGGAGAAAAGGGGACTCTAGTACACTGCTGGTGAGAATGCACACTGGTGCAGCCACTGTGGAAAACAATATGGTGTTACCTCAAAAAGTTAAAAATTGAACTGCCATTTGACTCAGTAATCCCACTTCTAGATATACCCTAAGAAGCCTGAAACACCACTAAGAAAGAATATATGTACCCCTATGTGCATAGCAGCACTATTTGCAATAGCTAAGATCTGGAAACAACCCAAAGTTCCATCAGTAAGTGAGTGGATAAAAAATCGGTGGTGCATGTCCACAATGGAATACTATACAGCTGTAATAAAGAAAGATCTCTTATCCTTTGAGATGACATGGAGGGACCTGGAGAGTATTATGCTCAGTGAAACAATCCAAGCAAAAAGAGACAAATATCACATGATCTCACTTATTTGTGGAATATAATGAACTAATCCAACTGATGAACAAAACTGACCCAGAAACATAGAGTAGGGTACAAACTCACAAACCTCAGAAGAGGAGGTTTTGGAGGGAAGATTAAACCATAGAACTTATATGCATGCATGCATAACCAATGGACATGGGCAACAAAACTGGGGATGGGACGGGGGAGGGAGGAGGGTGCCAATGGGGGGGAGGAGAAATATCTGTAACAAAAACAAATTAATAAAAATAATTTTTTAAAAAGTAAAAAAAATTTAAATTTTCCCCTCCCCAGCCAGTGTGGCTCAGTAGCTGACCATCAGCCCATGGACCAATAGGTTGCCAGTTTGGTTC